CGCCAGGCTTGTGGACGAGCCATCCCCAACCGCCACCTAGAGAGGGCCCCAGGACCTGGCCACCAGACATCATCGTGGAATGGCCCATCCTCGACGCCGAAATCCTCGGGGTGGGGGAATACCGCGAACCGGGGAAGAAGATCGCGGAGAAAAGAAGCAAGCGAGCCGCCGCGAGACATAGAATCTACATTTTCGCCAAAACCCCGTTAAAGCCCGAATTGTCTTTTTTCTTTTGTTTCCGTGTATTTTGCGTTCCATTTTTTTCTATTAGTAGTGCGTTCTTTTCTTTTTGTATTTGATTTTCTTCTGTACTGTGTGCCTGTGGAGAATTCGTCGCCGCCCCTGTGTGGAAATTTTGGACCACTGCGCCAAAAAGGTAGGAGTCATCTCCTTACCCATTTTTTTTGTTGTTGTTCATTTGCGCGTGGACGAGGGCGATAGGACCCCTGGCCCCAGTGACGTGGACACTAGAGGCCGCGAACGGTCTACCAAACGGACCCCATCTGATTCCCGCTCCCGACAGAGCAGCCGGAATGCATTGGCACTGGCGCCCCGTGAAATAAATCGGCCGTGGGTGTAAGCATCGGCACGTGGAGGGCCGTTTTCCCGGACTGCCCCCATTCTAGGAAACCCCCTTCGGGTTTCCCCCACCGATACGTCACAAACTTCAATAATACTATAATCATAGAATCCCTTTTTAATATTTTTATATAAAAAAGTATAAATTACAATGTTCATTTTGACTAATTTACTTAATTTTTATGTTCTGTTTATCACAGGTAATGCAGTTAGCTTCGGAGGAGGAGTAAATGCTCCCGTACAACCTTACACTATTACAGCGATAACAACAGAAACATCCATGCGCAAAATATGCCTTCTTCAGATGCTTCGCATGTGTTGTTTTTTCATCGCAGTTGTAATTATATTTGTAATATTTCTGGCAGCGACTGGAGTAATGTCCAGCCGTCAGTCAACATGGCATATGGATAAATAAGAAGTGCACCAGAATGGAATTATGGTTAAAGACACGAATTAACCAAAAACAAGAATTAAAGTAATATAATACACGAAAATATTGGTTGCAGAAATTTCTCACTAAGAAACAATGCTTGTCGATACCGATTGTACACATCTTTCAGTAAAAACTGAACAACTATGAAACAAATATCGCTAAAACAATGTACTACTTTGACAAGAAAAAAGGTGCAAATAAAAGGATATCATTGACGTTTCTAATATAAGATACGTGTATTATAATTCTGTTATACAATTTACGTTTTTCACTGGCAGAGAACATTGTCCCGCTGTTTATTAATTTTATTTGTATCTTTGCACAATAAGCAGGAAATTGATCCGTGAATATTTCGATGCAATTTATATTACCATTATATGCGCAATTTGCTTTACTAAAGAAAAATGATTAAGGACCTTTTGATATTAAATAATATTAAAGAACACATTTATAATACTATTAATTTTATACCGCTTTACATTATTTTTATTCTAATAGTAAATAATAATGTCAACGAAACTAATGTTCTTCTTAAGTATATATACATGTATGAATAATAAATATTTAACTTAAAGACTTAATTATGTCTCTTTTCATTTCCTCAAATTCACTCAGGCATGAATGGCATTCCATATACCATGTAGGGGCAATGAGAACAATGAATGTCTTTCATAGCTTTTATATAGAAATTATTACTAATAGATAAAACCGACTGTCCGATGATTATTGTAACCAGCCAATAAGAAAGAAAAAGATTGATTAAATTGTCTGAAATATTTTATAATTTTTAGTCTGACTGGTGATTCGATGAGATATGAAAGTAAAAATGCAGTGTACTTTTCTTACTAGCATTATTAAACTTATGTTTCTTAAGATGTAATATACATACTCATATATATTTATATTTTATAAAATTACTGTGCATAATATCAAAAATAATAATTATTCACTAATAATACTGAGTTAGGTACCGATCACATGGAAATCATAGTGACTACTTTCTGATTTTGTCGTAATGGTAGTCTATTTACTATAAACACAGGTATACAGACTAAGGTTATAATAAGATATAATAAATGGTGGGAAAGATAAAATAAACATAACTTTTTATTTAATATTCACATAAAGTACGAAAAGTAAAGAAACAAATATTTATCTATAAATAATCTCTTTTTTTATTGAAACAACGTACATTAATATTCTTTTGCAATTTTTCAATTTCGAAAGATTAAACATAGTACTTTCGTCTTACAGTTAGAAATGTATCTCCAATAAGTACTTTACGTACGCATTAAATGTTATGATTTTAAATGTAAATATTATCGGTGCGAGTAGTTTTACCGAAGTTCTACTATCAGTTAGGTACCAGTATTCTGTGCATCCAATTAAATATTAAAGTAATTACAGAATAAAGTGCAATATAACCGAACTGATGAGCAGCACTCTAAAAACATGTGAATATTATATATAAACATATAAGTGCATATACATATACTTGCTAACAAAAATTAAGAAACAAATTAATTTTGCATGATTCAATAAGTATTTAGCCTATAATGACGATAAATCAGTATTACGCAAACTTTAAAAAGGTATGACTTCATAAAGAAAGCGATAAGAATTTTTCTATATACAGTTTTCTGTACAGCCGCAACATACTTTAACTTCTCGAGGATGTTAATGTAATTATACGTTTAGCTTTATTAGAATTCAAAAACAAACGATCACATATTTAAGCAGTACTCTGTTCTTATATATTATTCATTTTTTTTGAAAACTTACTTTTGCCGGCAGAAGATCACTGTTGCCGTAAAAAATAATTAAAATATAATTACACAAAAGAATTGCACAATTTCATCGTGAAACTTTAAAGGAATTAATCATGCAGGTATTAAAAGAAACGACAAAATATGAAAGTTTGAGAATAAAAATGTAGCGTAAAATTTTCTGCATTCTAAATACTTTTCCTTATTACATCTTTACACAGTAGTCAAGAAAGAAGAAATTATTTGTGAAGAAATTGATCGAAATTGTAGAAAAAGTAACGACTCGCAAGTTTTCTATCTTGTAACAACGCTTGCGCGTCTCAAATGCCCCACGTTTTGTTCGACGTCTACACGTGTACTGAAATGTAATAAATAAAAAATATGGCAGAAATTTTATCTGATAATATATCGTTAACTGAAGTAAAAGCCAGGGGAGTGCAGGGGAGACCAAGGAGCCACGCGAGGAAGGGCAGCCACAAAAGTTGCGACCGTGAAATGGCAAATCATATCACTATTGAATGTGCACATAGTAGCATCGAGTCAATCAGAACTTTCGTGAAGGAAGTAAATAATTACTTTATTCCTAAGGTGTGATATCAAAACAAGAAATATTAAATCAATGTTGGAGAACAAACTAGGAAAAGAATTATAGTGCAAATGGTTAATAATCTCATTATCTGATCGACAAAGTGCCGTATTATATACGTGCTAATCTTCTTTATCCTCGTAAGTATCCCACATGTCGTTTCTGTTACTTATTGTTCTGTATAGTATACCCGTGGTCAAGGTAGAATCGCAGAAGACAAAAATAAAAGCTATCATAATATTATATTTGTCGCATTTCCTATGCTGAAGATTAATTCCCATCAATTTAGGTCGAACATTTATGTGACTGTAAGGATTCATCATGCAGGACAACTCGGGCAAAACCAGAAGTAAGTTATTTTAATTATTATTATAAACCAGAAGTAAGTAAGTTGTTTCCTATACCTTTTTTGCCACGTACTTTACACTATGCAGAAAACATGTACCATAATTTTTTGTACTATTCCGGGTATTATAGAAATAGAAATTTCTTATTTAAACAGCAATAAAATAATTCTTTATTGAAGCAAAAAGAACACCGAATATTCAAGTGAGTTAAATAAATATTAGTAGAATACCCAAAGTGTAATGGTAAAACATAACGACAATCACAGTAGATTAATTTCACAAGTATAACATACATTTTGCAAAAAATACTGACGCTTTCATATGATATTAATAAATTAAAAAATCTTAGTTATTTTGCACGATTTAAAACTTGCATATGATTTTTTATTCGCTAATAGTTGGATTTATGAAATCCATATCTATTATAAGGAATAAAACGAATCCATCGATGTGTCAGCTCCACAGATTTTGAAGAAACTTTTACGATGTGTACGCTAACGGAAAAGTAATAAAATTCAGTAATGGAATATATTTAAGTGACCTTCAAGAAATTGAAGTGGTTTACTGGTGTGACGAGAATAACTTTCAACGAGATTATCTTTGCTATATTGCGATTTGTACTTATCTTAATTCAATATCAAGATCATAATCACTTTTGTCAATTCGATCTTTTCAATTATATTTCAAAAATTTATCTTCCTTAAGAAGGTGAACTGTTTAGCGTGTCTTTTAGAAGCTTTTGAACACTATAAAACACAATAATGTTTTGTTGTCAGCAATACACTCTCAATCATAGATCAAATGTTAATATAATTATTTTCAGTTTACGAAAAAATATTTTATATGGTCACTGAAAGGTGTTAAGAACTCTCCACATTAGGTATACGTTATGGTATATCCTACACTTGAGCAAACAGAAAAGAATTTTATTGTACGAAGTACCGGTGAAGTAATGGTGTTCAAAGTCACCATTTACTTCGTCGCAAATGTATATGTTACGGTGAAAGACCGAAATCTGGTGAATGTCGACATTCACCGGTGAATGTCCGAAATATGTATGCCGAAATATGTATGCTAACTACTCTTATTTCGGACATTCACCGGTGAATGTCGACATTCACCAATTTCGGTCTTTCACCGTAACATATACATTTGCGACGAAGTAAATGGTGACTTTGAACACCATTACTTCACCGGTACTTCGTACAATAAAATTCTTTTCTGTTTGCTCAAGTGTAGGATATACCATAACGTATACCTAATGTGGAGAGTTCTTAACACCTTTCAGTGACCATATAAAATATTTTTTCGTAAACGCTTCAATTATGTCACAACAGAGTGATTAAAAATTGTGGAGGAAAAATATTGAAGCCTTCCTTTTGCATAACATTTAATATTGTAGACTATTTCGGGTTAAAGAACGGAAAAATCAATTAAAGGCCGATCACAATTTAAAATAGCAACACACAGAGGAGGTTTAATGTTTCAAATGACAATTCTCGATGTAGACTCTGTCGCATCCTCTCTTACATGCTATTTTATCAACTTCTCGGGACTCCGAGAAGGGAGGAAACATGGGGTGGGGAAAGTGTGACGTCCTACAAAATTGGAAAATCCCACTTTCCCCTGCAGCGGTCATCCGGCCCAAAATCGCTGACCGGTGACTCATCCGTCCCTCGATTTACAAATTACCGTAGCTGTAATAAACCCAAGGATCGCCTCGACTTTTAAAATTACACGTACCGAAAAAAAGAAATATTACTACGCCAACCCTGGGCTCAATGTGCCTACCAAATGTTAAACCGGACAAGTAACGGTTCCTTGGTCCTTTATTACTGCTATGTCAAACCTTCAACATTATAAAACATCCTAAAATCTAACATTATGTCTACAATATGTATTTAATAAATAACATATATAATTTCAATATTTAATTTGTCTGACTCAATGTATCAATGGGACATTTTTCTTGGTCAAAACACACTTTGTTCAATCCTGGCAATCCCTGATTCTCTCTTCTTTCAACATTCATAACAATCTATAAAATATCTCACTCATACCAATTTCCTCAGTACCTTACCAACCTCATTCATATAACATTCTTACCAACGCATTATGTTATAAAAAAGACCTTACAAAAATTTCGTAAAAATCTGTGAGCATATAGATGCATTCCAAATATTGAATTACTTCATTCTAATCATTTAATATTTCACTATTTCTATTGTAATATTCGTAGTTCTTTGTTTACATATTACTAGTACTGATTAAAATATACTTGTTTTCAAAAGATATGAATATGAAGCGTACGTGAAAGCAAAGAGATCCTTGACTTTAATATATGTATATTATCAAGTACAATTATTTTGGAAATGCTCAAAAAAATTGGAGGCACGGCCCGTTATTCTTTATTATATAAATGTATTAATAATTAAACATAGGTTATGGATAATATTGTGATATATCCTGTTTTGTGACGAAGCTACATGTATGTACATACATGTATGTAGTAATATTTGATTATTGTTGAATGTACAATTTTATATATCTAATTTAATGTATCTAATAATAATAATTTAATGAATCTAATAATATTAATTAATACATATAATATGTACATATATGTATATATGTTTTTTATTTTTATGCTCTATCAATTGCAGGTGTACCGATCAATTTAGAAGCAGGTTCAAAGGAACAAACATCCTGCATTTCAAGATTCTGCAAATATATGATACGTCAAATTGCAT